TTTTATCTGCTCTGTTAGGATTTCGTCCACCCTAGGTGATTTTCCATTTTTCATACAGTCAATACTATTTTTGAGCTCTTCGATGGTAAATGGGTTTCGCAAGAGAGTTGTTTCCTGGTCGTGAGTTCTTATAATCTTTGGCGTTTTGCAACGATTGTTTGTTTTGCCATTCAGAAGCAGTTGGTGGGCTATCTGATTTGGCGTTATTGCACATTCATCTTTCATCTCTGTGGGATCACCATTAAATTTTTTGATCATATTCCAAGCCTGCTTACTACTGAGCGTCATATCCAATTTACTTAAAGTCTCGCTCCACCATTGTTGTCTGGAGGCAATTAGACATTTTTCATAAATCGATGAACACGATTCAATAGAGCCGCATAGTATACGCTAGCTATTTTTGTGTCTTTTTTTTCAGTAAAAAGATAATCCACTGGAAAATAACTAGGATAAGTTTTTTAACAATTTTGGAAACAGATAAGAATGGAGAAGAGAACTCTAATAGGCTAAAACCTTTTTGAAAACAAGGAATAACTTGAAGAATGAACAGGTATAATATATGTCTATAGATAACAGTAAGAATAAAGAGAAGGAGAATAAGCTATTTATAGAAGAAATTTAGATTTTTAAAAAATTTAATCAATAAATAACCAAATTCAATCCCAGTTCAACCACAGAATGTTGGTTTTTACGTAAAAATTGTAACTGGCATAAAAATTCATAAAAAGTTGGAAAAAAAGGAAAAGAAACTTTTGTGTAAGGAACAGTTCCTCCTCTAATTGATTAACTTGAGTAAATATTTTAAGAACCTCGTAAGACGCTCACTGACACTCCTGACCATGTTTACAGCAGCCAAAATAACATAAATTAATTACAGCGAATCCACAGACGAAATCTGTTTGAAAACATGTTGTGTCCATTAGAAAGTAATTTATGATAACTGGCGGAGTGAGGAGGTGTTGCAGCTTTTCATCGAAGGTTATATTAAACGACAGCTTAACTGTTTTATTTCTTTATATGTCGTGTAAATGTACAAGCCAAATAGGTATCTGATCTTTTTATGATGCTCTTTGTTTTAATTAGTGGAAATTTTCAATATAAATTTAATTGACAACCGATATATAAATGGTTCCCAATATGGTATAATTAACTATTTATGATTCAATAAAATATCAACATTTATTTCGAAATGGTAATAATTATTATCCTTGTTTTATATAAACACCAATATTTAGATACAGCTTTAAATTAAAATATGGTAAACAATATATCCAATCTGGGTTTACAGTCAATTCTGGCGCCATCCGTTTCTTAAATTCCGTAGTCTTCCCTCTATATAATAACGAATCAAAGATCTGGATCTTTAAACTAACCTAAAGGACCTGCTTATCAAAATTATTATGACTAGGTCCTTTTATACAGTTATAAAGAGATTTGGAAACTGTATTTGTAAGATTCTTTAGAAGAATAAAAACACTTCTAATTTTTGTAGTTTCTTCTTCTATCCGAGTTTGGATATCATCGCAGCTATCCGTACCTTATGGCGGCTGCTCTAAAAAGATCTACTGAGCTCCAACTATACCACTATTTTAGGTTTCTTAACCAGGAAATACTTCGTCTTTCTATGGATCTTTTACTCTTAATTTAAGCTTGCATTATGAGCCTTAATATCTCATATTTTGCACCTCTGGTAATGTGGCCCAAATGTTCCAGCTTTCTTATTTTGATTTGCTTTATGACCTCGCAATCCTTTGTATTCTTCCTCCAACTTCTTTATATTATCCACTTTTAGTGTTCAGATTTTCATTCTATATTTCCATCTTATTTCTCTACCTTAGTCATTGTTTTCAGTTACCCATGTTCCCAGATATTTATAGATATTCACTATTTTTACTTGTTTTTCCTCGATATCCAGCCTTCCTACTGTATGTTGCTTAGAAATAATCATGCACTTAGTTTTCTTAACGTTCATTTGTAGTCCATATTTTATACTGACTTGCGACAGCGGTTTCATCTGCGAATCTTATGTTGTTTAAGATTTCAACGCGCAACCCTCTGACTCTTTTAACTTGATTTCATGCACGTAACCCGCATTTTGATTCCAGTGCAGATTGACAATAACCCGTATATCTCGACTATCGACATTCTTTTTTTTTTAACAATTTTACGAGTTTCTGATGTCGTACTCTATCAAAAGCTCTATGAGAATCTATAAACCAGACATAGAGATCCTGGTTCATATCTAGTCGTCTAAGAACGTTAAAAACGAACAGAACCTCTCTCATCCCTAGTCCTACTCTAAATCCAAACAGGTATCATCTATATCTTCTATTTTTTTGTATGGTCTTCCATGTATTATTTTAAGAAATATCTTAAGTGTGTGGCTTATTAAGAAAATTGTTCTGTACTGGGAGCACTGTTTTAAGAAACATCATGCAGGCCAAATGAAAGGCAAAAGAAGTGTGGGAAGAAGAAAAATATCGTGGCTTCGTAATCTACGTGAATGGTTCGGGTGTAGTTCGATTGAACGTTTTTAGGCGCTCTGCTAACAAAGTCGCAGTGGCCATAATGATTTCAAATCTCCGCTAGGAGTGGCACGAGAAGAAGAAGAAGGGAGCACTGTGTCGTATGTACTGACTTTGGTAGTGTTACAAACGTGGACAGTAACCAATCTTCGGGTATTACTCCTGATGTATATACTTTGTTGAACAGATCTAGCACATGAACATTTAATTAGCTCAGTGGGTATCTGATCTGGTATGTACTGATTATGCGGTCTTTATTTCTAATTGTCTTTTCTAATTCGCACATTATTATTTTGGGTCCTGTTTGTTTCTGTGGTTCTTCTTGTATCATTCTATCATACGGCGAACAGTTTCTTTATGTATTCTTGCCAAAATCCTAGTTTTTTCTTTGAATATCTGCAATGAGGTTACCATTATCATCTTTGAGTATCTCATAGTGTGCTCGCTTTTTGGTATTTGTTAGTTCTTTTATTTTTTATGCATATTAAAACTGTCATATTTTTTCAGTCATACTCTTCTATTTCTATGAATTGATCTGTTAACCACTTTTCCTTGGCGTTTTTTTAGCTCTACTTTAATTCTACTTTGTAGTTATTGATATTTTGGCTCATTTCTCTTTTTGGTTTATCTTCACTCTTCCATTATTGCTAGAATTTCTGATGAAGTCATTCACTTTTGTTTTTTATTTGTCTTTTAAGGCTTTAAATTTTCTTCTGCAGCATTTAGTAATAAAGTAGGAAGTCCAAGCAAAAATTGAATTTTAAGAGGCAATTTGCAGCCCAAATCAATAAAGATTTTCAGTAGATTGTTGACATATTGCTTGTAGTTGTCATCTTTGTAGTTTTTAGAGAAGTTTTAACTACATTTTTAAAGCAGGACCATGCTCTTTATGTTTTTATCATTAGGTCTAATTTCGACCATTTCTGTAGCATTGAGGTCATTGACAGAATAGAAAGAAGAGGTTTCAAATGGTTTGGACACCTATTAAGAATACCTGACAAACGTTGGCCCCAAAAACTTTACAGATTGAAGGCCCCTGGAAAAAAGAGGTGGACCTCGACGTTCATAGAATGAAGGATATAAAGGAATGAATACGCAATGGTGACAGGTATACTTTTTTATGGTCAACCAAAGACGTAAATTAATTACTATTTAACTGGGAATAAGCCACAATTAAAGATAAAAATACGTTTATTGACTTTTCAATTTCCACTTCCGAAATCGTTCTCAAAATACAAACAATAAATTAAACAAATTTTGTTTTTTGTTACATAGTGAAAAATTCTTCTAATAATTTAATTTTATCTGACTCATTTATATTGACAATTCAGACATACATTATGCATTTTAAAGTAGACGACTTTAAAATGATATTGCCAATATTGTTATGTTGCGCTCGTGGACGACTTTTACTTATAAGATAGTTCATTCGATTACATGAAATCAACTTTACCTTGAGAATATCCGTCAGAAAAAAATCATAGCATATAATTCGTCTTTACATAAACACATGACATGATGACAGTAAAATTCTCCTGTTAGTGATTACATAGTAAATTATGAGGGAAAAACCAGGAAACAAACTTCATAATAATATCCCGACATGATAAGTATTTGTTCGTGCATTTAGTTTACCTTCAATAAACACCAAAATTCTGATTTTATATGTTTCATTATTTAAAAGACATAAATGATGTATCCTCTATAATATAAATGATGTATCCTTCCTCTTTCAATATTGGTAACCAGATCCTACTACATTCTGCCGAGGAATTTGCGACACAATTGGCCTCATTTAGCATAATTAAAGCCGCTTCTTTGATTTTTCTTTTTTTACCATCCGTCTTTTTTAGGACTACATTTGAATTATTCCATTGAACCCTATGTATATTATCCCATGCGTGTTTACATATTTGAAACCTATCAAATTCTCTATTTTTAATATAAGACTGATGTTCACTTATTCTAACATTTAATGGCCTTTATGTTTCACCTAAATAAAACTAATCGCATTCAAAAGGTATTTTATAAATGCAATTCTTTGTCCTTTCTTGTTCATTGTTAGGTTTAGTTTTGGACAAAATAGATCTAAACGTGTTTGTTGTTTTGAATGTTGTTAAAATGTTGAATTTATTGCCTATCCTTTCAAGTTTTTCTGATAATCCTTTTATGTACGGTATTGTTGTTTTATTTAAAATGCCACAAGAAAATAGCTTTAGAACAATATTAACCAAAGACGTAGTTTTAACATTTTTCTTACCAGGTTCAAGGGATTTAATTGCCATATTGTTCCACTACCTCCAAATGAGAGGTGATTCCTGGTGATAAATGTTTCAGCTATTCGTCTTTTGGGAATTTTGGGGACTATATATTATAGCCAGTGTGGCATTGTGAAAGCTTCCGATTTTATTTATAAAAAGTATAAAAGAAACAGCAGCTAAATAACATACTATTTGTTAATCAATAAAAACTTACCAGTTGATTTTGATATGCTGTAACTGCCGTAAAGATCGTTTCAGGAAATATAAAAGTTTTGTACTCTTCATTTTCCAAATCCGTTACTGTACCAGCCATGCCTTCCGCCCGTTTCACTAGATGAATCCTGGGTTGATATTTATGCATTGAGTTTAACACCAGCTAAAACAATAATAACATAAAAATATATACATATGCCATTTCTTTCTTTGCTATAGTGTATAGTGTAACATTTTAAAAAATACTAAGAGTAAAATGATCAGAGTAGAGATAGGTGTTAGAGAAGCCAAAGAAGAATATCAACGTATGCTTAAAATAAAAATAACTAAATAAAAATGTTATTAGAGACTAAACGATGCAAAAACAATAAAGAAAATGTTACAATGGAAGCCCATAGGAAGGCGAAAAAAAGGAAGGCCCAGAACAAGATGGTTGGATGACGTGAAAGACGACCTGAAAAACAATGAACATAAGACAATGGAGAAAAAGAGGCACAAGAGAGACCTGAATGGAAGGACATAGCCAGACAGGCAAAGGCCCATCCAGGGTTATGATGCCAAAAGAAGAAGACGAAGAAGAAGAAGAAGAAGAAGAAGAAGAAGAAGAAGAAATATAAATGTTAAAAAATGGTATTAAGGAGGCCAAGAATCCCTTGTTAAAAACATGGTTATAAAGCTCCATATGCTTCCCACATAAAGACATACACAAAATGACGTGGAATCTCACCAGATGGAACCACAACCAATCAAATTGACCATGTGATGATAGACAAAAGGGCAGCCAGTAGTATCTCTGATGTGAGAACACGACGAGGAGCATGCTGTGGATCAGACCATCTTTTACTGCAAACCAAATTTAGGTGCAGAGTTAACAGAAAAAGAAACGAAAGACAACAAAGAACAAACAAACTAGACCTGGAAAAACTGAAGACTCAGGAATGTAGAGAGAAGTTCGAGCAAGAAGTCACAAATGAGCTAAGGACACAAGAACTGCACTCCATAGAGAGCAAATGGAATAATATCAAAACAGCAGTGCTGACAGCAGCAGCGTCCACCGTGGGAAACAAGAAAAAGAAGAGAAGAGGAACATGGTTTGATGACGAGTGCAGGCAAGCGATAGAAGAAAGAAACGAAGCGCACAAAATGTATATAACAAGAAGAACACGGGAAAGACGAACATCATTTGAAGTCGCAAGACGGAAAGCAGACAAGATATGCAGAAACAAAAAGAGAGCTTATGAAAATGGACAAATAGAAGAAATGGAACAAAATTTCAAAAAAAAAAACGAAATTAGAGGAGCTTACGAATACCTAAAAAAGATAAAAAGTGGATATAAACCTCAAACAAGCCTATGCAAAGATGAAAGTGGGCAAATAATCAGTGACCAACAGAAAGTCACAGAAACCTGGAAGCATTATTTTCAGACCCTACTTGGAACACAAGTAGATATGGAAGATGAAATGGGTACGAACCATGTAGAAGAGAACGAAGTTGAAGTAGAAGCTCCAACCATAGAGGAAGTTCTCGAAGCTATTAAGGCCCAGAAAAACAATAAAGCCCCGGGAGTTGACGAGATTCCAGCAGAACTGTATAAGGTAGGTGGCAACCACCTATCAAGTCATATCCACGCGCTTATCAAAGAAATATGGCAAGAAGAGAAAATACCCGACGAATGGAAGAAAAGTATAGTATGCCCAATCTATAAAAAAGGAGACAAACTCCAATGCAAAAACTACCGTGGAATTTCTCTACTATGTACAGCGTATAAAGTCCTCACGTATATTATAAACCAGCGACTCCAACCACTAGCAGAAAATATTATTGGAGAATATCAGACGGGCTTCAGACGGGGAAGATCGACAATGGATCAAATATTTACAGTCAAGCAGGTCTTGAGCAAATCGTGGGAACACGACATTGATGTTCACAACGTGTTTGTAGACTTCAAACAGGCATACGATTCAGTCAAAAGGGACAGACTATACTATATATTGGCAGAATTAGCAATACCACATAAGCTAATTAGACTCATTAAAGCCACAATGGATGAAACTCAGGCATGTGTACGAATACAAAACAACCGGACAGACTTTTTCAAAATCTCGCAGGGACTAAAGCAGGGAGATGGGCTGGCACCAACATTGTTTAACCTGGCACTGGAGTATGCGGTTAGGCAAATGCAAACTGGACGAGAAAACCTACTGACCAATAAAACGGTTCAACTGGCTGCCTACGCCGATGATATTAATATTATGAGTAGAACATCAACAGGAGCACAGGAAGCATACGCAGAGTTAAAAACACAAACGAAAAGGCTAGGTCTGGAAATTAACACAGAAAAAACAAAAATAATGGTACAGACGAGAAGAAATATAATCCCACAAAACATTATACATGAAGATGACATTGAAACGGTTGGAAAGTTTACATACCTGGGAGTAGAAATATATGCCGATGGAGCAGAGGATGGAGAAATACGAAAAAGGATAACGCAGGCAAACAAAGCTTATTTTGCCCTCTCCCATATATTTCGGTCTAAAAGTGTCCACCGAAATACAAAGATGAGAATCTATAAAACTTTAATTCGGCCAATAGCATGTTATGGCAGCGAAGCATGGGTCCTGAAAGAAACATCCAAAAACAAACTCGACACATTCGAAAGAAAAGTACTGAGGAGAATACTAGGACCTGTGAGGGAAAACGGAATCTTCAGAATTCGATATAACAACGAGCTCTATCAACTGTATAAGGAAACACCCCTGTCAAACTTCATTAGAATACAAAGATTGCAATGGGCCGGACATGTGATACGAATGGGAGAGGATAGGCTACCAAAACGAGCACTGAACGCCAGAATGCAGGGAAAGAGACCAGTTGGAAAGCCAAGAAAGCGCTGGGAAGACACAGTAAGCAGCGACGCACAAGCACTTTTAGGAGTCCGTGTATGGAGAAGAGCAGCCACAGACAGACAAGGGTGGAGGCAAAAAATAAAGGAGGCCAAGGCTCATTTTGGGCTGTAGTGCCGTAGTAGAAGAAGAAGGCCAAGAATCAATTGTACAATAGTAGAGAAACAGAAAGAAAGTATCACCAACTAGAAGAGATCTCATTTGGTAAAAAAAATATTTTTACCAAATGAGATCTCTCGTACTAGTGATAATTTAAGAACTTAACGTAAGTAAAACTATTGTGAACTTTAAATTAGTTATTTACATTATTGTTTTATTGTAGCATAGCTCTGAAGATGGCTTTGTTAGCTGAAAGCATTCAGCTAGGTAATAAATTGCTACATTCTTCTTCTTCATGTACAATGTCCTTTCAAAACGTTAATTACCATCATAACTATCTTAATTTTATTCAATGCCATCCTAAATGGCATGCTTGTATCAACAACATACCAATTTTGCAAGTTCTTCAACCATGAGGTTCTTCTTCGTCCTGAACTGCGTTTGCCTGCTATTTTTCCTTGCATGATATTTTGTAGCAACCTATATTTGGGACCTCTCATTACATGTCCAAAATACTCCAGCGTTCTTTGCTTGAAGCTTTTTATGATCTCATTAGTCTTGCTGAAACGTTCTACTATTGTAGAGTTTCGAATCTTCTCCACCCAGAAATGTTTTAAAATTCTTTTATAGCACCACGTTTCGAAAGCCTCAAGGCGATTTAGATCGATTTTATTCACAGTCCAGGACTCGACAACAGCATAAATAAAAAGACCGAGAATACGTAGCAGCGAAGTAGGCGGATCCTCAATGCCAATTTGAGGTCCCTGTTATATAACACCTTGGATATCCTTCCAAAAGCAGCTCTAGTCTGCTCTATCTTAGATCTAATTTCGCTTCTCGTAAGCAATTTTCTAAATTTCTTACACACTTTAAAAATTATTTTCTTTTCACTTCTTTGATTTCTTTAATTTACTTAGAACTTACTTATTACTGAACAACTAGATCCAGATCAAGAGATAAAATGTAGAATCGAGATAGCCCGTACGACATTTTTAAAAATGAGGTCATTCTTCTGTAATGATAACTTGCCACTTCAACTTCGAAAGCGCATGGTTAAATGCTACATTTGGTCAGTCCTCTTATAAGGTGTCGAAGCATGGACATATTATCCACGATTAATCGTCTGGAGGCCTTTGAGATGTGGCTGCACAGACGTATACTAAAAATTCCATGGGCGGCTATGCTGACAAATGTGGCAGTTCTTGAAAGAGTAAATGCTGCTCGCGAGCTGCTTGATAACATCAAATGTAGAAAGATGGCCTATTTTGAACACGTAGTAACGGGAGACCGATATAATATTCTTCAACTTATTATGATGGGTAAAATCGAAGGACGCAGAGAAATTGGTAGAAAGCAGGCCTCTTGGTTGAAGAATATCAGGGAGTGGGGAGGAATAAAGAAAGCTGAGCAACTATTTAGAATAGCTCGAGACAGAGATAGTTTCGCCATGTTAATCGCCAACATCAAGGGAATTGATAGGGTACGTTAAGAAGAAGAAGATTTTTTTAATATTAAGTCATTGTTCAATTTGAATGCAGTAATATTAAATAGCAGTTGATTGAGAGAGTAGGCATGTTGATGTTTTACAATATTGTGCTTCAGTTTACAATATAATATGCAGTTTTTTGTAGACGTTTTTTAAAGATTTTGCATCTGGTTAAGCATTTGTTTTTCAATATTATTGGAACAAACGTTATTTGTTGATTAGTACGAGACATAGCAAATAACCAAAATGTAGATAGAAAACTTTTGATACATTCGATACATTGGATACATTTAATACATTTGATTAATTTGCTAGAAGACACAGATACTTACATGACCATGTTTGTCCATTTCATTATTGGTTAACTTGATTTTTTCGAAAGACACGACTTGTTTCCTGAGCTGTTCTCCAGAGAACGGTGAATCGGGGTGCGAGCAAGTTCTGCACGGAGCAGGAGGATCAGCCTTCCCCGCTACTAACCACGACGATCTATGGTAAGCGTACCGATATCTTTTATTATCTACAGGAACTATATCTAGTAGTACGGCGTATTTTTGTTCTGTTCGAATTCCAGTGAAAGAAACCCTAACGGTAGGAAACATGCGCCTGCAACAAAAATATTTATTGTTAAAATAAATTAATAATCAACAACTTATATAATAAATAATAATAATTAACGTGGAATTCATTCAGAGACATAAGACATGTCTTAATAAAAGAGACGAGGGCATTCGATTCCTTTGACATGAAGACCTTTCATAAATAAAATATCGTCCATCCCACCCTTCAATCAAAATCCTACCGTCAGAAATATTTGCGCCATCTACCCAAACCATATCAATATCTACGGTTTAAATAAACCGTTCGCTCTTTCCGGTAGCAGTAGTGCAGTGAATAGTAATAAGTTTAAACGTGTTGGGGGGTTAATAAGACATTAAGGACGATGTCGACAGCTGGGTGCAGTAATAATAAACGCAAAGTAGCAGCAAAAACTAATTTAAAGAAAATAACAAGCAATTGGGCTACACAAGTCCTAGGTTTTCCACCCAACGTGACCGGAAGTAGAACTCGAAGTCAATATTTGAACTTTTCGTGTTTTGAGTTTTTGAACTTTTTTGTTTTTCGTAATTTTGAGTTATTTTTGTCAAACTTCCGGTCAACTTTTTAACCGGATGTGATATAAAAATCGGAAGTATATATTTGCTTGCTAAAGCGCGTCGAATATTATACCACTGGTCCTATTTCGGTGACTTTAAAACAGTACTTCCGAATGCAACTTCAAAACCGAAATTTAAGGTCCAATTTTTTTCCTTTACTACCATCTTTGGGTTATAGGCTTTCATTCAACATATCATTTGTCATTCTTTATGTTCTACTCTTAGTAATACGTGTTTAATGAAAACATCCCAATAAAGCTAAAGAGAAAAGCATTTAACCAGTGCGTACTTCTGGTGCTCACTTATGGAGCTGAAACACTGACATTGACTAAAGCATCAATAAAAAAGTTACAAGTAGCACAACGAAAAATGGAAAGATCTATGCTTGGCGTAACTTTGAGAGACCGAATACGAAATGATGAGATACGGCGAAGAACTGGAGTGGAAATGGTTAGGACACGTCGCAAGACAGAAAGACAACAGATGGACAAAGAAGATTTTAGAATGGCGGCCAAGGGCAGACAAGCGAAATCGTGGAAGACCACCTACCAGATGGACGGACGACATTAAAAGAATAGTGACAAACTGGATCGCAGCTGCATAGGACAGAGAAGAGTGGAGACATCTTGAGGAGGCCTATGTTCAACAGTGGACAAATTTGGCTCTGTGATGATGACTCTTAGTAACGGAGGAATTGTGTTCAACGACCAGACATGGATAATTTAAGATTTTCACCTTCGGCTTATCAACATTGAATAAGTCAATCAAATTAACCTCAAGGCCAAACTATTTTTTTAATGTAAAATGGGCAAAAGATTCGAAAAAGAAAAATAAACTAATAATTTGAAACTCCTTGTTTATAAAAGAAGGAGAGACCGAAGCAAAGATATATAGGCCATATTATAGGCACAGGTAACAATGGAGGAACCATTTATAATGGAGGAACAGTTTGACTAGCTGTTTCATGCTCCAAAGCAATAGCGAGGGCTTCATCTATAACTTTTGGTCTTGCTGGTGTTAAAGCTTTCTGTAATTCATTACCTTTTAACCCATTGACAAAGATATTTACAGCAATTTCTTCCAAAATGTTATCTGAATAAACTAACCGCACTATATGAGCAACATCTGCTTCAAACTCTTGTAAATTTTCACTTGCTCGTTAAATTCTACTTCTTAGTTGTGCTTTGTAGACTTCTTGTAGATGAGCATCCCCATAACGTTTGTCCAGTCGAGTGAACAAGGTCTGGTAACACTTTTCTTGGCCCTTAGGAATCGATCTTAGAATATCCGCAGCATAACCTTGTAAAGCAGCAGTCAAGGAAACAGTTTTTTCTTGTTCTGTCCAATGATTGGCTGTCGCAATTGCTTTAAATTGTCTAAGGTACACGGACCAAGAAGACTTTCCATCAAATGGTGGCAATTGGAATCTCATATTCCACTTTTGTATTGGTTATCATGCTCTCTAACTGTTTGATCTTCTCTTCTATTATACTTTATCGAATATTCTAGATACTTCTACCAATTTCTCATTGTTCTTTCTAAAAGTTTCTTTAGAAACTTTTAGAGTTATTATTTGAGAAACATTTTTGAGTTTTCTCGTCGTTTTGTCTAGCTACTTGCGACTACTAGCGACTCTAGCTAATAATTTGAGACATATCATCAAATCTTTTGGAAACGTTCTGTAATTAATCATCATTTTTTCTAGAAGTTTCTTTGATAATTTGAGAAACATTTTCAATTTTCTCATTCATTTTTGTTAAAACTGTTTCTTCCGCTAATTGAAACTGGAATGTTTCTGGGTCATCTCTATTCTTGTTGAGAACATTCTTCAGTCGTTCTTAGAGGATTTTCTTGGACCCGCTGCAGTCTTCATCGCGTTCTTCTAGCTACTGACGCAACTGTTTTACTGAAAGTTCTGCAAGCCGCATCTTTGGACTTTTTAAATTGTTCTTTTTTTTTTACAAAGATCACTACCGAACTACGCAGATGTTCCCGACGAACAATACTTTTCAAGAGTTCAAAAGTATTTTTCAAAAGTCACTGCTGAATTTATTTTTAAATCTCACACCGGACACCACTGTACAGTTTTTAAATGAAACGAACGATTCTAATTTATATAAATATGTTTTTTTATAAGTTTACAATAAAAAAATATTCTATCAACTTTACTTAGCTAACATCGGAGATTTATATATAAAATTTATTATAAACTGGAATATTCTGGAGTAGTCCACCTCTAATTCATTTGTTTGACGGGTCGATCTCTCCCTCGCTCGATACATCTCTGGAAGCTTCTCGTCGTCTCGAGATGCAACCGTTATATTGGCTATATCGAATTCATGTTCGTAACAATATCAACAGACAAAAGTAGTTTCAACAGACTTGAAGAAATTGGAGATATAAACAGAATAAGCACTGTGCCTCCGGAGTCCATGAAGGATATAAAGAATTTTAAGAAAGAAGACTAAAAAGAAGTATATTGTTACAATCCCAAATAATAATGCGGCTCACTAACATGGTCAAAAGTTATATCTGTCTTTTAAAACATTGGCAATGCTTGACTACTTGTTGGTATTCGCTGGCGCCTGCCAAACGAGCAGATTGAATTTGTTTATTTGTTCGCTACATCGTTCTTGCCAAATTCTACATGTTTCGAATGGTGAACTTTCAATGGCATGCGTAAATGTGTACTTGTAATTGCTTTAACTGCCTTTAAAGAATCTGGTATGGTGGACAATGATTTAGTTTTACTGAAGATGATACATCTTCCGAAATTGCAGCTACTGTGTGACTGTAAAATCTTGTTCAATTATAAATATTAAATTATTGTTAAATTTTATTCGTAAGGTGTTGCTGGTTTTAAATCCATAGGGAGGATTTTTCGGAACAGTGGCGTTTCAAAACATACTTACGATTTACAATTGTTGAAGATAGGTATCAAATGAACACAATGTGTTAAATAATAATATAATATAAAATTTAGCATTTTTTTATATTTGAAACAATACGTATTACAATAGTTTTACTCATTGATAAAGATTGTTTTAACAATAAAACCGTTATTCTTCATAGTGTTATTACTAAAATTATTTCTGAATGGTAAACAAATTAAACATTAGTGAGTACATCATATCAAAATGTTTGTATTATCTTGTTTACTGTCATAATTAGATCCACTGGCTTAATCGCTATACTCATTTAGATTATTCCTATAATTTTGTACAGTTAGTTTGGCAAATTCCTGTTCCATCAACACTTTTAGAGCTCCTAACGTAAACGTGATGATATCCTCTCCTCTGGAGACTCTTTGGCTGGAGAAATTTATTGAGCAGAATACAAAGCTAGAAAATAAAATTACAAAAAAATAGAAAAATTTAAGTCAGCATAAAACACAACACAACACATCACATCACAACAGCTTCCAGGAAAATACTCTAGGGTCTGACCTTACTCTAGGTTCTTTCGCACCTTCTTGGATTGCCAACTGCTGAGAATTCTGGCTCAACAAGGACATCTGGTACATTAGGGCATGCGATCTGCAGAGGATTTTAAGAACGGATGTTAGGTCCAGCACATGTGATGGCGTGCAGATTAATTTGCCAATGTGCTGTCTTGGGTCCGACGCTATGGAACCTGACATATTACGAGGTTATGAACTGTGAATATGGTGAGGGTACAACTCCCTTTGCAATTGCGGATGACCTTGCTGTACTGGTAGTGGAACGGGATGAGCATGTCTAACACCTAAGAAATACGTAGAGTACCTAGGAGTGACATTGCACCAGTCTGGAGCAAGGCGGTAGAGATAACGGTCTATAAGAGGCTCATGATACAAGTGGACAGAACAAGTCTGTTGCGAGTGGCATGCGCCTACAGGACTGTGTCTGCGGCAGCCTTGTGGACCATCACTAAATGTGTTCCGTTGCATATTCTGGCGGTGGAAAGAAAAGAGCTCTATAAGAGAAGAGGCCCAAATCTTATTATGGCCAAGAGAAGACAATAAAGGGAAAGGTCAATTGAGAGATAGCAAGAAGAATAAAATAACACGGAGGGTGAGGCCCAGTGGACGAAAATGCTTATCCCAAACTAAGAGATTAACTCTAAGAGAACCGAACTCCCGAACTAAAAGAACTAACTTATAAGAGATTGGGTGGACTGTGGTCACAGGCAACTGGAATATTTCCAGACGCAGGTACTCATACAACACGGATGTTTTAGAGTTTACCTCTTTAGGTTCGGAAAGGCTGACACTGATGAATGCCTATACTGTGGAAACTCAGACACTGTGACACATACTATGTTAGAGTGCAACAGATGGATAATAAAAAGGAACAGAATGGAAAAAGAGACAGGTATAAGTTTTGTTAAGAGAATAATTGAAAATAAAGCAGGTTGGACTGGTATACACAACTATATCCGTGCAGTTATTAAGAAAAAACAAGTGGAAGA